ACGACAAAATCAAAATTAGCTACAGGATTATCGTAGCATACCACAAAAAATGGACATAAATTTGATTTCGGTACAGCGTCGGTCTTACATAGAGAACATAATACTAACAAACGAAGAATAATTGAATCAATATTTATTACTAAAAACCTCATAAAATCGGTAAATCAACAGACAGATGTAGATAACTTAAATACTTTACTAAAGTCGTTACCTATACTATACTAAAATCGTTACCAAAGTCATCAAATTCCTGGATAGTGAAAGACTTAAGAAACACATATGACAGGCTTATAATTATTGATCCTTTGCAGATTTATTATTATTTTTTTATTTATTATTTTTTATTTATCAATTTATTTTTATTCTATTTTCTCTTATTATTATTCTTTTCTATTTATTTATTTTTTCATTTGATTTCATTTCATTTTAAATTCATTTGTTTATTAATCTCAATTCATTTATTCATTTTACTACTATTTTTTAAAGTTTATTTATTTGTACATTCTATCTTATTACCTATAAATGTCTATTATTATCCTTATTTATTTATTTTATTCTATCCATCCACTTCTTTATTTATTTATTTTATTTTTATTATTATTTTACTTTTTTTATTTTTTATTTTTTGTTGTTCCAACCATCCAAATAGTATTAAGTGATGTTATTTAGTTGATCGGGCGCTTATGACCTGGATGTTTTGCGCCTAGACATCGAAACAAACAAACAACTTAAATATTTTTTATGCTAGCTAGATAGATAGAAAAAAAAATATAAATAGATAAATATGAATAGATAAAAATAAAATATAATATACTGAAATATAACAGATAAAACAGCTGATCCCTAACCCCTCCACTCCACTCCTTTTTAAAATAAATCCATTCCTGTATGAATGCCTTAGTGAGGAGCAACATTTGTCTTAATATAGTCTGCGAAAGAGGTACATAAATCGAGAACTAATAATATTCTTTTTATAAAAAAAAATTAACATTCTATTTTAATTAATTATTTATTTATTACAACTTTTTAGAAGTGAAAAAACGACATTCTATGAAATAAAAGAATGACTAAAGGACGAATTATATTGTAATGATAGATTTTAGAAATTTTATGAAGCGGTGCATGGTAGGTAGATGATATAATTTAATAACATTTTTTTTTATAAAATTGAATTTTGACTATTTATATTACTGAGGGTTGTTAAATAATTTGTATCTGATAAGGATGTATTTTTAAATGTAAAAACTGAATTAAAATTAGTTTGCAGGATCTTGAAAATGGCTCCTGAAGCCGAAACGTCGAATAAATAATACAGGATGTAAAAACTGTGTACATTTGGTGATCTTTGGCCTAATATTTATGAAAAAGAAAATAAGTATTTTATAATATTAGCATTTTAAAGATAGATGTGTTCTACAGTAGTGTTTAGTGAAGACATGAGGAAGCCAAATTTATTTTAAATTATTGAAAGAATTTTTAAAACTATTCATCGGTATCTATATTATGATTTTTCCGTCATCATAAAAATTTGTGTATTGAAATCAGGAAAATAAATAAATCTAATACAGAAATCAAATAATAAAATGTCAAGCGTAGAGTATCTATTAACTTCTAATTACGATCACTCAGTCAAAATTAATTTGTATTAAAGTTAATAACCTTAAGAATATTGCTTTAATATAAATATAAACTAACGATAGTTAAATTCAAGTATGACAATTCTGTGCACCACTAAATAAATTTTAGGTTTCTGATATTTAAAATAATTTTTCCGTTTATTTCCATGAATAAGTAATGCAAAATATTCTAGGAAACATTCTCATGAAAATTGAATTTATTTTCCATGGAAACACTTCTTATTCAAAGGAGTTTTCTTAAATACATAAGAACCGTTATGGGAATAATTGTACAAAGGAGTAAAATCGATGTGTCATTTCTATAGAATCTATTTCGACGAAAAGTTACTATAACATTAGCTACCAATATACCAACCTTATATAAGTAATTTTAGTCTCTTAGGACTCTTCGTAATTGAACTATACTATTCTTATTTTATTTATTTATTGTTACATTCCGCATCTACCCGAGCGTGGTCATTAGCGGCTTTAGATTAAATTGGGTGGACAAATTTAGTGTCTTTTATAAATTCAAATACTGTTTGTATCTGTTCTTCGTCATCTGAAAGTGCAGCAGATATGTTGGAAGGTACATTATGTTTTGTTCTGGTGTTAGAGTATAGTCTGCAAGTTGTTACAATGTGTTTCAGTGTAAGTGATGTGTTGCATGTTTTACAAAATGGTGGTTCCAGGCCTCTCATTAGGTAGCCATGGGTACAGTCTGCATGCCCAATTCTATAAGTAAGTTATAAGTTAAAATTATTTCTTCTTTTCTGTTCTTTCTGAAAGAGGTCGGCCACGGTTTGGTATCTTTTTTAATTTCTTGTAATTCGTATATTGGTTATACTTGAATTGCCATTTTTTATTTAGCATTTTTTTGCATTCCAATCTCCAGTCAGCAGTGGTCGTTAAATTAATCATTGTGGTTTCATTAGTTTTTCTTCTTGCCAGGTTCGCAGCTCTGTCTGCAGCTTCGTTCCCAGATATGCCACAATGTGAGGGTGCCCATGCGAGGACGATGTCTCTGTCCGACGACGTTGGAAAATTTATAATATCTGTACAGACAATCAGTAAGTTAATTACAGAGTTGGTGAATGCAATGTTGAAATATAGAACTGTGAATAACGGTATAAATTTTCCAACTAGAAATATCTCTAAAATTAGCATCCAAAAATTTTGAAATTGGAGTTATTCGTTGTTCCAACTGAAAGGCTCATACATGACTCAAAGTTTAAGTCATATACCTATATTATTTCTAAAGTGTGTTTTTTGTCTTTTTTAATCCTTCATCAATTCTTTGGTAATAATTTATCTCTTACTGAGCCGTCATTATGAAGATTATCATCTCCTTAAAGCGCGAAAAATAAAAACCACCTGTTTACCCTGATTGGTCGGGAAAAAAATGTTATAAAGAAAAGAAAACGTTATTTGCCCAATTCCGAAACTGATTAACAATTTAAAAGCGAATTCCATGACTATTTGATCATCACCATCTGTCTACTTGTCCAAAATTCTTCGGACTATATAATCTGTGTTTGTGATGATTATATCAATATATAATAATGATCTGATATATACAATAATGTTCAAAAATATTTAATAAGACTTCATTTAGACAGGTTGAAAAAAAAAAGATAAAAATAGTCAGATTCGGGAAAAGCAATTTAGTTTTTATTTTAACCTAGATGATAGGGAAGAAGATTGCAGACACTTAGATAGTAGCACTGTTAACGTAATATAAGGAAGGACTACAAGCTGAGCCAGAACATGGATGATCCCCTTTCTTTCTTGGAGGGTTGATGACCAGGAATAAAAGTCTGTTGGCGGGCTTTGGAGGGAGCGAGCGGGTTTGTTTGCTAAAGCTCCAAGTCCCTGATCCTACAGGATAAGCCCTTCCATTATTATACACCCTTCGCCTTGAGACGGCGTCAAGTCTCCTCCCCCGTACATCCCCTTTGTCAAGTCAATGAGTTAGTCAAGTCCCAGGCTAACTCCACTTTAACAGTCTGCCAAGGAGAGTTCCTCTTTGGACTCAGAACGGATTAGGGACTTCATTTCTATCTCGCTTCGCAGTGTCCTCCAGCTCTCTATCGCCCCATTCGCGGGACCCTGCCTGTGTAATCCCAGCTTAGGATATTTCGTATGGATTCCACTTTGTATCTACTAAATGCAGGCTATGATAGTAGAGAAAAAAAACCGATGGTAAGTTATAAAGGTGTTCCTATCTATTCTAAAGGGGTGTAGTATTGATGCAGGGTGATTCGTATCTATATTTACACTAGCTATTATTTCTAAACATTGTGATAATTTTATTTTATATTACAAATCACAACTAAGTTGTTTTATAATCCTTTTATAGAAATGATTAAAAAATGCTTGATAAAAAATAAAATTTATTAATAAATAATTAACGATAATTAAGGTATTATTACTTTTTAAGGTATAGTGTTTTCAATTATAATTTAACAAATCCAACCCCATTTCTAATGATTGGACGTCAAGCAATAAATGTGATCTTGGGTTTCTTTTCTTTTCTGCCCTGCATTAGCGAATCCTTGACGGGTTATTTTATTCTTTATTTGCATTTTAGAGACATAAGGCTGTGTGGTTGGAATTTTCCCAATTATAGCATTTGTTGTTTAATGAATTTTTACTCGTTTATATTAATATTAATTTATTTAAGAAATGCATCTACCCATACTGGGTCATTAGCATACAACATTGCATATGGTATATACGATTTGTGATTTTATTTTTAACTCTTAGTATTACATTGTCAATGGTACGTTAATATGTTACATATTTTATGAAAATTATTACACAGATAATGCGTTTATATTAATATGTTTTAAATTTTTTCGTGAGATTAATAAGGACGACTGTATAAGCTAATAAAATAATTTAGAAACGAAATACCAAATTTGTGGAATTTTAAGGAGGTGCAGCTGGGTACTATATTTTCTCATACCTGAATTGACATGGCGATATTTTGTCAGCACGTTCCGTTATTATCAGGGACAAGTTTGAATAGAAAAATAAAGATTGAAAAAAATGTGAAAATATGGTTTAAATTTTTCTTTTTTTTTAAATAATACAATGACGTTTAACAGTTCTTAAAAATTAGGATCAGATTGGCCGAGTGGGCTAACGCGTGTTCACAACATAGCGTCGTCCGAGTTCGCGTCCCGAAGCCGGAGGGCTTTTTAAGTCTGTCATTAATCCTTCGCCTTCACCCCGTGGACAGTTAAGAACACGTATAGCCTAAAAGGCGAGGAAAAGGAGGACAAAAATAAAATTACTTAAAAAGTAACCCAATGAAATTTAACTGCTCATTGCAAATTTACTGCTTCTCACTTATTAAAATCTCTTTTTATAATTAGGTTATCATAAGTCTTTTATACCGTCCGAATAGCCAAGTACTCGTTCGGGTTTTAGCATTTTCAAACTCTCCCTAGATATGGCTGATCCTCGAACTGGAGAACTGACTGGAGGATCCCCCTTTATTAATGGCCGCCATAGAACTGTTTGTTTATTCCGCTCCTCGGGAGAAGGTGACGGAGTGGCTGTACGAGGCTGAGAGCCCCATCAGTCCCTGATATCTCAGAGCGGCCCGGGATTTGTCAGTCCTTCCAATACCGACAAACTTATCAGGATTATTACCTTCCTTTGTCATCCTCTTTACCAGAAGGATTTTTTTTTATATTCTCAACTGCCGCCTTTTCTCATTCCCTCTGGTTCTTTTTTTTTTGCGGGGCGAACAGAGTAGAAGACGCTTTGACAGTTTTATGTATCAGTCCTTATACAAAAAAAAGTATCGTGTATATCCACAAATTTATTGAATTCTTGGTGTATTGAATATAATATTATTGGAATATTTTCAGTTGATGCCTGTAATAATTGGTAACTATCTCTAAAAATTTAAAGTCATGATCGTCCATCGAAAATTTTCATAAAGTTCTCTTCTGTCAACAGGAAAAAATAAAACATTTTTAGAATTTTATTTAGACTTATTTAGGAGAATGGTCTATCTCTACTAGTACCAGCAATAAAATATTTTAACAATATGCTTTAAATATGAATGTGTTAACTTAATAATTACAAAATAATTATAGTCCATGGTACAGACCCCTTTTTGTCTAATTATTAACATCCGGCTGAAACTTCGTAAATAGATTCATCCCATCGTAAGCTGCAAATATTTTATTTACGAAAATTCCTATAATCGGTAATAACAACTCGTAAATACCCATTTGCTTTCCACTTGAATCTCTAGATAACTTGAGCAAAAAGTCGAGAAAAAAAGTGGCCATAAAAAAGTTTTGGGCCGTTTGGCGTGACCTACAAACCCAAATCGTCAAAATAAAGAGGTTATATAGGTCAAACGGTCCAATATTTTTGTAGGCCACCTTTTTTAATCAATTTTGTGATCAAATTATCTTGCGATCCAAGTGGAAAGCAAATGGGTATTTACGAGTTTTTAATACCTAATTAAATAGACAAAATTTGCCTACCTTTAGATTCCAAAACACCCCAATTCCAAGAATTTTCGTAAATACAATATTTGTAAGTTGCGATGATATGAAATTATTGACGGAGTTTCAGCTGGATGTTAATAATTTAGTAAAAAGATGTCTGTATCAGAGACTTATACCAGCATTAAATGGAATATCTTTCAATAAAAAAGTATAATATATTTTTTAATTTGACCATGCAGGTATTTTATAACTTATGTATCATTTATATAATTTAAAATGTATTACTATTTAGTCATGGTACATGAAAAGGACCATGACAATATATCTATCTACTACAGATGTAGTACTGACTCAATGCACCGTATGACATTAAGTAACAGTTCAATAATAATCAATATAAGCCAAATGATTTTATTTTCAATAAGACAATACGTTTAACAAAATCGCATCCTGCTTCTTGGCAATACATATTTTTTTAAGAAGTATCTCCTGCTACTTCTTCCGTTCACTCTTATAAATTTTCGTTCTTTTTATATGTTTTTTTTTCTTCATTCCATCGGAAGAGTTCAAAATGATTAACCTCACTAATTCCTTCAAACCGTCCAAAAAAGCTTCATAGTACGTGTAGTTGTTGCTTGCTACATGAGGAAGGACGGAAAGTATCAAACTTTAGATTGAGTGCAGCTGGTTTGTTAAATCTAATAGGTTCGGATATAGACTTCTAAAATATAGTTTAAGATCCTTTATTCTGTAAAAGTATAATTTCTGTAAGTTTTTTGATGAGAAAACCATTAAATGTGCGAATCTTTCATATTTCCATTTCTAGATTTCTTGAATTTTACAGAAGTGATTGAATATGAGAAATGTTTTTCTGTAGAGAATAAGTCAATCATGGTTTGATTTTTATTATTTAAAATTAAAAACAAAGCTTTTGATTAGAGCCAACTGTGGAAGAATGGAAGGATTATGTGTATAAGGAGATTCCAGACTTTTTTATTTTACACCCTACCTTTGGAATACGGAGGAGGGGAGAGGAAGGGATTATTATAGAATTACAATCAAACCTATTCTAGCTATATACTGATTTCATGTTTTTCCGTTTCAATAGCCAAAATAAAAAAAAATAGCCAGAGCGGAGAACATATGGGTTATTTAGTATTTGTCTGTGTGCTACCCTGGAGTTTGGCCCGTTCCTTCCGATTCACACCGTGGTAACCTAAATATTTTCCATTATTTGATGGATAGTTTTTTTAATTTTTTTATTACAAAATAGTGGCAATGAAATATCATTAAAATACTTATTTATTAAATTCACATAGGCTCTATCAGATTCGACGAATTCTGTTCCCACCCTGAGGCCCAGCCTTGATAAATTATAAGCTGAGCAGCTCTAATCGAGTTACAGGCTACGACGTGCACGAGCTGGTAAAAATGGCTTCGGCCGAGAGCGGGCATTAATCCGTGGGGAGCCACAATCAGATTTGCCGGCGACTCCTCGACAAGGATTAGTAAGGGGAGTACGTAAGGGGAGACCCGGCCCCCAGGGGCTTCGCCTTCCCAACTTCGTTACATCCCCGGGCCAATAACAGCTCTTCATTACCTGCCCCTAAGTATCCATGTTAATGCTCTAATTGCCTCTATTAGGGCTGAGCAGGTGAGATAACGCTTTGTCTCACGTACCCTCAGGCCTTTATTGGTAATTCATAATTTAGTTAGCATTTAATATTATAGCAATTCTATGTAAACAGTATTATCCTGAATTAAGTAACGGGGTATTCTTAATTAAGTTTTTTTCTTTTATCATAAATTTTCACCATTTATATTCAATGACTTCCTATCTCGCCATTCCTGGCACAAGAGGTGTTCAGACAACTTTTCCAATTATGGCAAAATAACTCTCATGAGTTTCAATAAGGCAACATTCTAAATTTTATGGTAACATTCTAATTTTTAAGCAATGGATTGTATCTTAAGGGATTGGTAGGCTAATGATTGTGCAAAAAAACAGCTTACCTTCTATATGCTAGCCTACATCTTCTTTACCTTCGAGGGCCCTCGGTCCTAGCAGGCTGAATGCTGGTCAAGTAGTGGCATCGAGAGAACCAGTCGCTCTCAAAGCTTAAGTGTTATCTTTTATCTTTTAAATCTGCCCCCACCACTCGCCGTAGCGCGGGAAATGTAAACCTTCCCTACCTTCTCTGGCACAACCAAGAGGTAAGGAGTTGTTCTAGAGGTACAACCAAACCGAATTTAATCAGAGTGGGAAGGTCAACATTTGTTCTGTGGGTACGTTATGAAATAAATTTTAATCCACTAAGGCTGGATTCCCATTCTGGTTAGAATAACAAATAAAAGATTACTGTCTGTATGGCTCCTTATTACATTCAGTCATTACGGCCACTAAAAATTGACCCTTATCCATAAAAAGTTATACCGAAACTTGTATTTGTTCTTTAAAATACAAAAACGTTTACTTATTTATTCTCTTAGTTTCTGTTCGAAGTACAAATATATGTTGTATATTTGATTTTTTCTTCTGTTGGCATTACAAACCTTCTAGATCTTTCATCGACTTATTTCTGCAACCCGGAGGTAAAGGTCAGTTTTGTATTTGGCATGTCACATTTTTATAAAGGACAACATGTCAAATTTTTATATTTTTTCTAGGAAGCCAATTTTCAATAAGTTTGAGCTATTAAGATTTAGTTCTTCCAACTAGTTACTAAATTATTGATTAAAAAAATTGAAAATGAATGATGAAATGAATGATCGATAAAATGAACGATGAAATGAATGATGGAAATGGAAATGGAAGTGGAAATGGAAATGGAAATGAATGATGAAATTTATGATGGAATGAAATGAAATGGAAATGAAATGATTCAGCTTATTATCATGTATTTTGTTTTGTCTTTATTTACTTGTAGGCCGACCTGCTCTTTTATCAGAGTTGTAGCGAGTTTCTCAATGCCCTCTTAATTATTTCCAAGGACAGCTATATCATCTGCGTATCCAAGGACTTTATGATTCATTAGTACCCATATAGCATTTTTCAATACCTTCCACTGCAGTGTAATTTCAGCCAAAAAGAGCTAGAGGTACTAAATATGTATTGCAAACGAAGGATCATAAGAGTAAAAGACGAATATTTTTTGTTCAGAGTATTATTATATCCATTCCTTGAACGAAAGTTGGTTCTTTGTTGATTTTTTTTTTATTTATGAAATCTATTACAATAATAATCAGACAGATCTAAAAAACTGGGTCAAACAATTTTTATTTAAAAGACTATCTCAGGGAAATTAGCTATATCAGTTTCATAATTTAGTGTTGTTATTCAACTGCAGGTTAAATAACTCCAAAGATTACGCCCCTACTCTTCAATAATAAACCCTTGGAAATAGCAATATCTCCGGAGAACTGGATATTAATCTGATTGTAGGCCGGAGGATTACGAATTAGTTATTGATGGGAAGGGAGAGGTATCGGAATTAGAAGCGCTGATGAGAACGTCCATCAGGCGGACTGTTTTAGGGCCGGCATCTGTTGATCTAGCAGATGTAGGCATCATCCGCACCTGGTGTCAGATTAAGCCCTAATCTATATTTGAGGTGGTCAGAACTTCGGTAGTGGATGAATTTTTCATCGATGCAGAACTTTTGGAGCGAGCTAGCACTCACTATAATGAAGGTATTTCTGACTGAGTATGAATCTGATCACTTTTTCAGTCATCACAGGAGGAGTCTTCTCACAAAAATGATATGTATATAAAATGTATGTGAAATGCATTCACATAGATTGAACACTTCATATAGTGCATATTTTATACATTGTGAAGAAAATTATTTAACAATTATAAAACTATCAATGAGGTCGTGATCGAGCGTGTTAAAGTGGAAACTGCAACATTTTCGATTATAATGAAGCCGGTTCGAATCCGGCCTGTGAGGGTTAAAACTCATTTCCAGGCGAACCCAGGGAATGAATCTCGCCGAAGTCCAGGCAATGATTAGCTAAAAAACGAAAAGTTGTACGGAACTGAAATTACGAATTTAAGGTAGTTATTAGCCTTGCGTCTTACTCCAATTTTTTCGCCATAACTGATTCACTTTATAAAAACGAATTTACATATTTTTACAATTTTTTTTTCTCGAATACTGTTCTAACCATTTCGATTAAAACTCATTATCTCAATGTAAAATCGAGTGGTTTTTAATATTAAACAGGTATTACTGTCATTTAAATCGTGTGATAGGACTTAAATACTAATTTTTGGAAATATCTTCCTCTAATGCACTTTTCCTTAATTTTGTTTAAAAAAAAAAAAAAAAAAACGCTGCAAATTATTTCCAAACAACTATACATCTAAAGTAACATTACCTTCCTGGTTACAAAGTAAAATAAATAAAAGGTGATTCCAATAATTGGACTAAACTTATATATTTTTTATCAATAGTAATATGCTAAAAAAATAGTATTACTTTAGTAAAACATTCAAAATTTAAAAACCAAACAAAGGATGTAATCTTTGGAGTAGAACATGCAAAAAAAAACTGGAGACCATATCTTTGCTCCTAATTGTCCGATTTTAACGATTTGTTTTTTAGGAAATTCCGTATACTTTTAAAAAACCATATACAATATCTACTAAAAAGTTTATATTTTTTGAATTATTCGGAATTAAATTTTACCATCCCATGTAACTTTTTTCCAGCTTCTTTTCGTTGAAGTATGTTATATCGTTGAATTTAAAGGGCGTCAAGAAAATTACTTTAGTGAAGTTTCATTGAAATCGATATATTCATTTAGGAGCTACAGTCAATAGCAACCCAGGTTTTTCGGCCGCCATTGGAAGGTGAAAGGCGGATAGTAATGTCGATGAAGGAGGATCATCCTCGGGTGACCTCTGATTTTATATTAAAATTTGAAAAAAATCGGCCAAGTAGTTTCGGACAATATGCGCGGACGGTGGACGGACAAAAAAAATTTTATTCGTTTTTCGAATTCTACGCATCCTGAAACGTGAAACCTCAAATTTTGAGAGGTGGTTAAGTTTTTGAATTTTTTGGTCGATCACAATGGTAGATTATTGAAAATAACAAACCAATATAACAGTTAAAATTTTAAACAGTTATAGAACATGAATAAACATAAACAATGAAAAAAAAATTGATTATTCACTAAAGGAAAAATAAGCGTTTGGAACTAAAACATACAAAAATAGACGAGAGCGCCCGATTTGGCCGATTCCCCTTTATTTTAACAGATACCCGATACTACACTCTACAGGGCTTTCTTATTGTTAGTTTAACTGTTATATTTCATGAGCCCATAATTTTCAGAAAACAATTCCCCATCAAATGTTGTGGATATTATAATATCAAACTATCATATACAATATATAATAATATTAGTTAAATTTTTAACTGGTATCGTGATGTAAATATATGAAAGAGATATGTTGAAATCTTGCTCAATGACACACGATATCGTCTTTTATGTCAGATTCACAAAGATTATTTTAATAGGATTGACATCAATCATCAAAATTAAATAAAATTTGACAAATTAGATTTAGTCAATAAACACCAATGATAGAAATCCACATAAATGTCATAAAATCAACAACTACCGTGATTTTAATAATAATAAAAATATTATTGAACCCATTCAGTCCCGCATTTTATTTTATATGTTTTTTTCTTGAAAGTTCAGAGCTTCGAACTGACAGATACCTCGACTCTTGCTCATCACTCAGCAAGGGATGACAAATCCAGTTAGTTTCTACCATCCATCAACGAGCTACGTCCCAGTAGAAGCCAACTGGAGACAGTAGTCCAAAAGATCTCAAAGTATTCTTATTTTCTCTCATTAATTCTTAAATGCTGATTTATTTATTTGTTTAATTATGATTAAATATTCCTAATGAAGAATAGAAAGTTATTGGATAAAAGATAATATAAAAAAAAGTAATTTTATAACTGAAGCTTAGATTGTGTTATTGTTGTAAATGAATTCGCAAAGAAAAGTATCATACTTTCAGATACTTTAAGTATAAAATAGAAACATTAGATATTGTTTATTAAATTTAGATTTTTACGTTCTGCAAGACACATACAAGTTTTTTTAAAAGCAAGAACGTGAATACAGTTGCATTATCACATGAATATTATAAAAAAAACAATAATCATTGTTTTGAATTTTGATTTGCTCTTTCAAGGTTTATTAACTCTCCGTGAAGTTTGGTACTTCCAGTGTATGGATTGACACTGCATTTCAGGATCATAAGTAAAAAAATGCGATTCGTTAATGTGCTTTTTTTTTTAAATTTATTTATTTATTTAGACATATAATATTCTGTCTGAGGACAATAATTATAGTGCTAAATGATCACATTCACACCATATATATACAAAAAATAAAAAATTAACAAAAGTAAAATAATAACTAAATAATAATAAATAAAAACTATGTACAATAAAAAATAACCTAAATATAAGTAAATTAAAAATATAAAAACACAGCCATACCTATATACTATCAGGCAGGGAACCCAAATTCCTGCGCTACTCTCTCAACCGCGTCACTGGTGCTAAA